AATATTTTCAAAACACATATCTGATTAAGAATTTATATCCAAAATATACAAAGAATTCTCACAACTCAACAATAAGAAAATAAACAACCTTATTTAAAAATGGGTAAAAGATCTAAACAGACATCTTAAAGAAGATATAGATGGCAAACAAGTGTATGAAAAGATGCTCAACATCATATGTCATTAAGGAATGACAAACTAAAACAAAAATGAGACACCTATTGGCCAAAATCCAAAACGCTGACAACACCAAATGCTGGAGAGGACGTGGAGCTGCAGGAACTCTTGTTCATTGCTGGTGGGAATGCAAAATGGGATAGCCACTTCAGAAGACAGTTTGGCAGTTTCTTACAAAGTTAAACTTACTCTAAGCATACAATCCATTAATTTTACTCCTTGGCATTTACCCAAATGAGTTGAAAATTATGGTGACAGACAAATCTGCATTTTAATGTTTATAACAGCTCTATCATAATTTCCAGAACTCAGAAGCAACCAAGATGTCCTTTAGTAGGTGAATGGATAAAGAAACTGTGGCACACTTATAAAATGGAATGGCATTCAGTGATAAAATGAAATGAAATGTCCAACCATGAAAAGACATAGATGAAACTTAAATGCATATTGTTAAGTGGAAGAAGCCAACTAGAAAAGGCTACATGCTGCATGACTGCAACTATATGGCCTTCTGGAAAAAGCAAATTAGAGAGACAATAAAAAAGATTAGTGATGGGGTTGGGGGATGAGTAGGTCCAGCACAGAGAAATTTTAGGACAATGAAACTATTCTGTATGATACTATAATGGTGGGTACATGATATGGTGATACATGATAATAATGACACCACGATATGATGGATACAAATAAACATTTGTCCAAACCCACAGAAGGTACAACACTGAGTGAACCCTAATGGAAACTAAGGACTTTAGGTTAAAATAATATACCAATGTTGGTTCCTCAATATTGGTTCCTGTAGCAAATGTACCACACTAATGCAAAATGTAATAATAGGGGGGTCTTTGGGGGTGGAAGGAGTATGAGTAGGAACTCTGAACATAATAGTCTATTAACAGATATTTCATATATCATTATATATAAAGATATAGCATGCTTCACCTATGACATTTCAAAATTATTTTTATATTTCAGTATCCACTGTTGGATTGGATGAAATCTATTCTCCACTCAAGATTAGCGTTATCTTTTTAAAAATTACATCTGTATTTGCACATATGTATTTATACATGTAGTGTTTCCGTGTGTGTGTATCTTTTTTAAAGCCTCTATTTGCTTCTCAGTGTCCTCTACAAAAAAAAAAAAATCCATATTCACTCCTATCCTTGTAGAACCTAAAGCAGAGCAGATTCCCAGTAAACATTTGCTCAGTCAGTGTTGAATAGGTTGGATGCTGAGTGTAGGTGACTAACGATGAATGCACTGGAATGTGCTGTCACCGAGTTCACACATGCTTCTCCGTCTATGTACAGTGTTGCAGTGACAGGCATTGCCAGATGTCTTGCTGAGGTCAGGGGACAGTGTGCCTATAGCTTTCCCCGGCTCTGTCTAGACCAGTAACTCGGCTCAGCTAGTTGGAGAGAAGGTGGAAAAAATAATGAGGACAGTTAAACAGTGAAGGGCCCAGGAGATGTGGATTAAAAGGCACAGTTGTTCATTTAATTCCTATTTCCCCAGTGTTCTTCAGCAACAGAGCAGAGATTTGTTTGAAGCTATTTGGTAGGCTCTTTTTTTTTTTTTTACTTTTTTAAAAATTGAAATCTAGTTGATTTATAATGTTGTGTTAGTTTCTAGTGTACAGCATAGTGATTCAGTTACACATATATATTCTTTTTCATATTGTTTTCCATTATAGGTTACTACAAGTCATTGAATATAGTTTCCTGTGCTATACAGTAGGACCTGGTTTTTTTTCTTAATCTATTCTGTACATAGCAGTTTGTATTTTTGGAGGGCTCTTTAAAGTCCTAGGGAATATGGTTATTAATACTGCAGTATATAATGTTTTATTTTAGTATCATTTATTATATAAATAAAATATACCAACAATATTTTATTACTATTATTATTCCTTAACAAAGAAAATAGATATTTTTAAGTTCATCTTTGAGTCAGCCAAAGCATCTACCTGAAAACAGGCCACTGAGCTCTGCCTAATCGTAAAGACATATTAAGTTCCATTCAGGTCAACTATAATATCGGCATACTGGTGTTACGAATCTCCAATGATCTATATTCATTTTAAGCACCACAAATCAAATAAGAACAACACCTAGAAGATTCTTATGAGGCAGTCAGGCTGGGAAAATTCGACTTTCAGTGAACTCCGAAGACAAAGAAATGAAAATGTGCTAAGAATATTGTACTTCACAGAAGGGTTAAGATTTGCCATGACAGGGAGTTGCTGTCCCATAGCACTGTCTCACCTTCCATTCTTGGATTGGTAAGACTGAGAAATTGTGCCAAAATTGGCCTATCAAGAAATTATGCTGCGTGGCAGAAGCACATGAGTGTTCAGGCTCTGCCAGACTCGACGTTGTCTGGGAAACTGTTACTGGTTTCTGCTACAGCTAGAAGGGAAAGTGTCTGTTCCCGAGGCAAGAATGCTTTCAGAATTCTCTGCCTCTGGCCCTTCTGTAGCTTCTGCAGTCCTCACAGATTCCCTGCCTTCCACCCTCTGCTCCCATTTGATCTCTTTGTATGTGGTCCCCCATTCCCAGGTGTTTGCTCAAATTTGACTCCCTCACTACCTAGACAGAAGTAAAAAACCAACAACTGCAAAGCTGTTTGGTTTTACCCACATGTTGCCTTTCTTTCTTTCTTTAAACCAATGTTTAAAAATCAGAATCTACCTCATAAAAAGCTTTAAAGCTTTTCTTTTTCAAAAATTGGATACTGGAGCCATATTTGCTCCTGAAGCAATCTGCTAGAGCAGAGAGGCTCCTGCCCACTTAGATGATACAGGTGTTCTCCAGTTTGCCACAATCCCCACCCTTTCCTAATATCTCTGACTGTGAGGCTGAGGATTATATTTTCATTTACCACTATAAAATTTCACTTCTGTGTTTTTCCTTATGATAGAGAAGTATTCTCTATTCCCATGCATTTATCAGAAGTGGCAAAAGAAGGGATATAAAAGGTTTAAGAATTTCAAAAAAAAAAAAAAGTCATCCTTCAGTATCCACAGGAATTGGTTCCAGGACTCCTAGAAGATACCAAAGTCCATGGATGGTCAATTCCCTTGTATCAAATGATGTAATATTTGCATATAACCTATGCACATCCTCTTGTATACTTTAAGTCATCTTTAGATTATATATAATATTTAATACAATGTAAATACTATGTAGATAGTTGGCAGCATGCAGCCAATTCAAGTTTTACTTTTTAGAAATTTTTGGAACTTTTTGGAATTTTTTTTTGTTGGGGGGGAGGATATTTTCAATTGCCAGTTGGTTAATTCTGTGGATGTGGGCAGAACCCACAAAAACAGAAGGTTGTACAGTTCTTGGAGGAAACAAAGACGATTCCCACATGTTTACTATGCAAAGTGAGTGTGCAAAGAGCAGACGCTACTCATTTACTGTCTTCCATCTCATGTCTAATCCCTACAGGGCCCAGAGCTTGCAACTCCTGGTCTGGTTCTCAGACATCTGGGTCTTCCCGGAGTGTGTACCAGGCTCCGGATTATTCCCAGCTGGAGCTTGTTGCCTAGTTTCCTTAATCTCCCTCTGCCTATGGACCAGAACAGGCAGGTCATACATCTAGAAATCAGGGTTCTAGTGGCTCTAATTGCTTCTCCTCATTTACCTGCCTCATTGTCTGCAAATCAGCTGATTTCTACGGATGAGCCATAACATTTCCTTCTAATTTAGTGGTACATGCTATATATTCAGTGATTCTTAATGGAAAAGAATCTGGATATCCTAGTTCGGTTACCTCCCTGATCATTTCGTCTTCCTTGGAATTGAGATTATGTCTAGACTGTGATAACTAGCAATTAGTTTATCCAATAGGTTTTTTTTTAAATCTATGTATAAAAGAAGGAAAGGGAGGGAGGGAAGGAAGGAGCTGGCAGGAAGAGGAATGTGAGCAGCGCTCAGGGAATGTTCACCGTAACATGACCAGTAGTTGGCACCAGGCTGAGTGCATTTTGCTCTAAGTCCTCTCTCCTTGGCAGTTCCTTCAGCCTCTTGGAGACAAGGCAAAACTGTATTTCCATTTTCTGCACTCTCTTGAAATTAACCATTCTTAAAAATTCTAGGTTTTTAAAAACCTGGTGTGTTGGAAAGGACAATGAGGAAACAGATCTGAGTGTGGTCACAGGTGCTGCTGTACGTTCACCTCTCATCTGCACCCCTAGATCCCAGCACCCACCCCCAGTGACCAGAGAGCTTAGCCAGTGTCTGCTCCCCCTGAAAACAGATGCATCTGAATGGCCAGGAACTTTCACAGACTCACCCGGGAGAACTGGGGCCAACTTTGTTGGCCTTGGGGTAAACATCTCACTGGAAGGGGCTTCGAATGGGATGTCGGCAGACAATCAGATGGTACAATCAAAAGCTTGTCGGGAGAAGGTGGAGACCGAGGTTACCCTGGTGGTCTCTGGCTGAGGACCTTCGGGGAAAAATCTTTTCAGGTCCTGTGGTCAAAGCACCAAGAAAAGGGATGTCAGCCTGAAAGACTGAGGGCTACATTAATTTACACCTTTGTCCCCAGAAGGTAAAATAAACGATTAGGATAATCCCAGTGTGGTTTGAAGAAGCGTGTGGGGTGGGTTGAGAGGAAGTGGGGAGCCAGCAGCCCGGCTCATCTGGGAGCACAGAGAGGAACGGAGACCCGGTATAATTAGCTCTTTGAAAGAGGAAGTCCTGAGCCACCTTGCGGAGCAGCCCGAGGCCACAGGGCCATGCCCTCCAGCGGGCTGAGGGTGCTGCCCCCACCCAAGCCTGCTGACGGAAGTGCTGTCTCTCTCCTGATAGGACGAGGATGACCCGGCAGATCGGGCAGGGGGCCAGGAGGAACTCCCGAGTGCCTTCTCATCTTAGCCTGGGTGACAGTGTGGCGTGCCCCCTGACCTCTCCTCCTTCCTCCGCTGGACTAAGCGATGACATGAAGGGACGTGGCAATAAGGAAATTATCCTCGCCTGAACATGTGAGTCTGCTTTCCCTGTCATCAGACACGGCCACAAGGTAATAGACTTGCCTCTGGCCGGTGAGCTGGGTCCTGGCCCCGGCTGTCATCTAGACATCGCCTGTTCTTAGGACATCCACTGAGAGAACTTACTCAGACAAAACATATGGGGGGCTCTTTCCATTTGCGGCTTTCCCACTTAAAGAAATAATAAGCTCCTTGTCTAGTTCTCTTTGACCGACTCAGCAGCTGACAGGCAGGGTTTGCAGATTTTTCTTAGCCTACTTCCTCCTAAAACCTAAGTCTGTGGTTAATCACGCTCTGCAAGAGACAGTTTCTCCTTCAGCCTGGGGGCTGACATTCTGTGACTCCACCAAACATCCAGGACTTCTGAGCCTGCTGTCACTCGACACAACCCGAAACCAAAACAGTGACACTTTCAGAGATGGACTCACTGAAGTCAACTTAGCGCCAATCTTTGTCAAAACAGCCTGCCTGGCTTTGCCACGGTATTTTAATTTCTGTTTCCATCGGGTTTTTCTTTTACATTTTTAAAAAAAAATTCTTATTTTTAATGGAAGCGTAGTTGATTTACAATGTTAGTTTCAGGTGTACAGCAAAGTGATTCAGTTATACATATACATACACATGTATCCTTCTTTTCAGATTCTTTTCCGTTATGTTCTTACAAGAAATTGAATATAGTTCCCTGTGCCACACAGCAGGTCCCTGTCGTTTATGTATTGCTTATACAGTACTGTGTATCCTTCACCCTTGTTGATGTAGCACCACAATCGGCAGGGAAGTGCTGAGGTGCCCAGCGTTGAGGGTGGGCAGAGAGCAGGGACAGGGGGATGTGGGCTGCATCCAAACCTGGTTCCTTCCCAGCTGACTGGCCGGAGGCAACACCTGAAAGAACCTCTAGGAAGTCCTTTCCCTCATTTCATCTTCCTCATGGAGACAGAGACACTTACCCTGCAGGGTAGTTTAAAATGTAACAACTAATGGACACCTAATATCTGGGTGTAAAGTAGACTCCCAATGAATGATAGTGGTGATTATTATTGTTGGTTTTGTAAAAAGAGTTAATACACTGAGAGTGCGCAGGGTAGTAGGCTCGGTGTTTGTGATGATCTATTCTTGTGATCTCGGGGGAACCCAGATGCCTTGTCACTTTGAGATCTGATGTAAGGCTCTGTATATGGCTAACATGCCTGATGAAGGAAAGGCAGGAGGTTTGGTGTTTTCAGAAAAATGTTGATATGATTTAGCAGGTTAAATTCAGCCTACGAAAGGGAAGTGAAATGATATCTGCGTCTTAGGAAGAGCAAAGACTACAGGTTAGAGCCTGGGGTGGAGGAAGAAGAGAACATATGTGGGAAACAAATCAGGAAGTCCCAGCAGGACCGCAGATGGGAGCTGAGGTCGAGGCTGCAGGGAGAGGAGTGGACTGTCGGGGCCGAGGGTGGTTCAGCAGATAGAATCTACTCTCCTCCTGGTGGAGGAAGGCAAGGGAGGAATCACAGGTGGCCTCATCGATTTCTGTCGTGGAGCAATTATGGGGACATTGGCTTCACCTAACCTAGAGGAAGAACAAGCTTGGGGAATAAGATCATTAGTTGAGAATTTATTTTAAATTGGATCCTTACAAAGTCACAGAGTTGATTCAGCCAGCAACAAAGAGTCATTTCTTTCTCCTTAGCAGTTTTTGTCACGTATTTTAAAACGCCTCATGATTTAACTCACATGCATCACCGAGATTAAGCACGTATATGGAACATAAACACAATCAATCTTTTGTACTGATACCAATATGTTAGGTGACTGAGTCCACAGTCATGCAACACTTAGAAATCATGACTGAGAAAACAGAACAGCGGCATATGATTCAAAGATTTACAATCACAGGTTAATGACTCTGGTAAACACCAGATTCAGAGACGTGAAAGTTATTTGTAGTTCTCCATCTTCATTTATTTAAATATATTTCAGAGAGTCATCAGCAAAATGTGTTAAGGAAAGGAGTGTCCTACAGGTGAAAAATAGGAAGTCAACAAGAGGTGACCAATAATATTATCTTTGTAAATGATATTTGGAAAAACATTTAAAAGCCTGCTGTTTTACCAGGGGAATGGGAATGTGATACACAATTGATTTATGAAACAAATGATGCCATTTGGGTCAATCATTATCTTTACAAAGCAAATATCCATCTGAAGGCAGCCTGACCTGAAGCCACTTTTCACAGGGCTATTTTCAGTCATTTTCACATCTTTAGTAAGATTTTTCAAATAGTTTTTCAGTAACAAAAGTAATCCCCTCAAACACGGCCATAACCGCATTTCCAACACTGAATTATAATCATCTGCTTCTCTGTTTCTCCCTGGACTGGGAACTCTTGGACACGGAGATTGCATCTTATTCAACCTCATGTGTCAGGCACTGTGCCTGGCTCCAGGGAGGCACTCAGATTTCTCTAACCAGGGAAGAAAGGGAGAGTGGCATCAAAATTCAAGCAAGTTCTACCTTCCAGGATGGACAAAGCAACTTCATGTTCAGAAGATTAGTAGTTAATGTCATTTAAGATATTAGAACTTAGTGAGGAGGGTGTAGCTCAAGTGGTGAAACACAGTCTTAGCATGTATGAGGTCCTGAGTTCAATCCCCAGTACCTCCTCTAAAAATAAATAAATTACCTCCCCACCAAAAAAATTTTTTAAAAAGATATCAGAACTTCTCTATAAATGTGGTATGATCAAGTTTCAGACAGCTTTGAAAATAAAGGAAATCATTGCATCCATAATCCTACCATGCAAATAGATGAATAGTTAGCATTTTGGTTTTAGCAAAGAATGTTACTGCTGTTAGAATTAATGTATTATGTCACTTAAAAGCATGCATTTTTAAAAATATCTAGATTTTTTTCAACGGACAGTGTTGTGAATAGCCCCCTCCAGTATAAGTTGAAAAGTAAAAGGCATTTTAAAGAGAAATTTTATTTTTTAATTTTTATTTTTTTAATTGAAGTTAAAGAGAAATTTTAAAAACAGATCATGAATGTGAAAGGTAAAGGAAGATCCTTTGCCCTGCCTCTCTGGATGGGAGAGAGGAGGGTCCTGGCATGTTGCAGGTCTGGGAGGGAGCTTCTTTATTTGCATCATTTATGCCAACATGGATGGAGGAAAGGAAATTTTGTTGTAACTAATAAATAGCTGAGTCAACTGAGCCACAACATAAAACATCTCAAATAGAGTGTCTGACAGCGCTGGTCTGGGATTTGACAGAGCTCTGTTCTTACAGATGTAGTGACTAGGTGTACTTAGGGAACTGGACTGGAATATTATTCAGCCCTTAAAAAAGACAGACACAACAACATGGCTGAACCTTGGGGATGTTATGTTAAGTGAAATAAGCCAGACACAAAAGGACAGACAGTGCATGATTGCAATTCTGTAAGGTTTGATAGTAGTCAAATTCGCAGAAACAGAAAAGTCGAATGATGGTTCCCAGGGGCTGCGGAGAGCAGCAGATGGGGGCAGCAGCAAATGACAATGGATAGTTTTTCAGATTTATAAGATGAAAAAGTTCTGAAGGTCTATTTCTCAACAATATGAATATACTTAACACGGCTTAACTGTACAGTTGCAAATAGTTAAGATAGTAATAAAAGACAGAGAGAAAGAGACTGGAATCAGAAAACTAAGCCAGTGATCTGGAGTCTTCTAATAAAATTTAATATTATTTATAATATTATTAAAATACTTAATAACATGTTATATTATTTAGAGGTGAGAGACATTGCAAAATAACTCAAGACCCAATTCTCCTAGAGGACTAAATTGTTTTTTTTGTGAGAAAGGTGTACAACCTTTTTGTCTTCCCCTGAAATTCATGAGCTGTGGCTCTGGGACTAGGGACCAAGACTCAGGAGGCCTGGTCCTTGGTCCATGCTCAGCAGTGAGCCTAGCTGTGATGCAGACACTTGTTTGACTTCCCAGAGCCTCTACGTGGCCCAAGGATGATCTCCGTCTTCCTCTTCCACTTCTAGAGTCTGACCTTGCAGAGAGAGGGACATACCAGTCCACGGAGCTGTGCCATCAAACGGGGTACTTGCCAGTATCTACGTTTTATTCAGTGGTAGTCATTTAGTCTATTTTTATATTGCTAAAGTACCAAGATAATTTAGTAATTCTTTTATATTACTAAAGCACAGATGTATGCACACTGACTCTTAGAATAAATTGAGCGTTTACTAAGTGCCAAGCACTCTGCTTTAGCACTTGGCATATTAAATCTCCACAACTGGAATGGGGCCAGAGAGGTTAAGCGTCTTTCCCAAAGTCACACAGCTCACAGGTTACAAACTTTGCACTCTGAACTCAGTTCTTCTGCCCGCAAAGGCCGTGCTCTGAACCATGAAGCTGTGCACTGGAACAGAATAGAGAACTTGCATAAAACATAAGAATTCTAAGAAAGTTTGCAAAAAAAATGTTTAAGAAATCCTGACGGAATGAGATCTGTATAAATTCACCTCTTTCATGCCACCCATCCTGGTGAGACCACCAAATTGGCTCTTCTCAACCTATAACCTCCGAAAAGCCAGCAATTCTAGCCTTGCTCCTCAACAATGCAAAAGTTTGCATGTCCTGAATTAGTGCAGTTAATTTTCTACATTTAACTGGGGAGACGTTTTGATCCAGTCTCAAAAGTCTTAATATACTCTCAGAGAAGACTTTGTGCCTCACAAGAAACAAATTATTCACATGCACTTGAAAGTGCCAAATGCAAACGCTTTGAAGAGAAATTCTCACAAATATGTATTGTGTCGAGTCATACAAGCAAAGAAAAAGACATATCGTTTTGTGCTTTGCCAAATTTGGGCCTCTTTTTAAGGTAGCCAGGCGTTGATTGAACACAAACACACACCAGCTGGCTGAAATTAGTGCATTTGTAAGTAAATATTTAGTGTGCTGATTTCTGGCCTGCTTGAAACACTCCGTTCCAAGAAGATAAGAAAAATAA